TACTTTCCCATTCTTTCCTTGCTTGCATTGTTTCTGATGAGAGGTCCAACATTAGCCTTGTGGGATATCCTTTGAAAGTAACTTGACATTTCTCTCTTGCCAGTTTTAGTATCTTGTCTCTCTCTGTGGTTTTTGGTCAATCTGGCTATGATGCGCCTCAGGGAAGATCTTCTTGGGTTGATTCTATGTGGGGTCCTTTGCATTTCTTGGGTCTGGATATTCGAGTGCCTCTTTAGGATTGGAGTTTTCTTCCAGGATTTCATGGAATAGATTATCAATGCCCTTATTAGTTTCTTCACCTTCTGGGATACCAATAATCTGGATGTTTGGGCATTTAATGGTATCTAGTATTGCTGGTATGCAATTCTCATTTTTGTTGTTGTTGTTGTTGTTATTTTCTCAGTCTTTTTGGTGTGTTTCTCTAAGTCAGAGGTTCTGTCTTCTACATCTGAGATTCGATCTGCATGATCTAATCTGCTTTTGATATTTTCAATGGAATTTTTGATTTCCTATATTACAGCCTTCATCTCTAAAATTCAGTTTGATTCTGTTTTATGTGTATCTCCTCTTTCAGATCGTGTGAGTAACTTTCTCACTTCTTGGAACTCAGTGTCTCTTTTCTCCTGCATCTTCTGGAGTTGGTTGATTCTTTTCTCTTACATCTCTGTTAGCTTTGTCACTATGAATATTTTAAGTTCTTTATCTGATATTTCCATGAGTTCCTTTGTATTCTTTGTGGAAGAAGAGGAGTTATTATTTTTCTTTAGAGGAGACATATTTTCTTGGTTTCTCATATTTTTTGTACCTCAATGGTCGTTTCTGGTCATCTGATGGATTATACGTTTTTTCCTATTTTTTGGAGTTAAATCTGAGCAATCAGAGGAATGCAGAAAGAGGCCATCTGCAGTCTGTAAACAGAACCATTCCTTTCCCTTTGCACACCTGGCTGCTGGCTAGACTGGGGAGGAGGAGGCTGAATTCTGGGCAGAGCATCTTTGGTGGTCAAAATCCCTGAATGGGCCTGCAAGGAACTCAGATATAGATGACAGCTGATAGGATTATCCTGACTCTTGGCTAGACTGGGGAGCAGGAGGGTGAAGTCTGGGCAGAGGGTCTTTGGTGTTCAAAATCCATGAATGGGCCTGCAAGGAACTCACATATAGATGGCTGTTGATAGGCTCCTGGCTAGACTGGGGAGCAGGAGGGTGAAGATTGGGCAGAGGGTCTTCAGTGGTCGAAATCTGATTCTGATGACTGGGAAGTCCAAAGGCATCACAAATTGTAGAAGGCAGAACTTTTAGCAGAGCAAAGCATGATCTGCATCCATGAGTTTCTCTTTCTTGCAATGTTCTATTTCTGTCATTCTTTCTTACAGTTATTATTTTATTTCTTTTGGGAAGAACTTTTCTTCCTTTTAAAAAATATTTAATTTTATCATTTATCATTATTTTTAATTTCCTACAGGGCATGTGCACCCACCAGAGAGAGACAGGGGGTTGGGGGTGATGGGGAGTGAGAAAGCAAGCCACTGAGTTTGAGACTCAAACCATGGTCAGCCATGTGGGAATCCAGTTCCTTAGCCACCAGGCCACCTGCTGGCCCCCAGAGCTTTGCCTCTTTTAAAAACTGATTTGTTTAGCATCAGTTGGACTCTTGGATTCTTATTCTTAATCACTGTGTTACAATGGGAACCAGCAGTTAGTGTAATGGCTATGTCGCTGGACTCCCACGTAGTCGACCGCGGTTCACATCCCGGACCCAGTGGCTTAAAACTCACACCGGGCGCGTGTGCGTGTGTGCGTGCCCAAGATCCTGAGAGGAGAATGGAGGAGAAGGGATTGTGGCGTGACCATCCCCCTGGGGGGTGATTTCTCGCTTTCTGTCTCTGTCTCTCTCTGTCTGGCTGGCGAGTGCATGTGCCCTATAGCAAAAATCTCTCCAAAAAAAAAAAAAAATCACTGTTACAACTCATTTCCATCATTATTCATTTTGATTATCTAATTGTTTCAAATTTAGACAGTAATGAGCCCATTTTTTTCAGCTTTTATACTTGTATTTATTCATTTAACTGTTTAAAACACTACTATAGATTAATATTAAAACAAAAACAATAGCAGGTAGTGAGCATATTGTAATTACAGTCCTTCACTCATTCACTATTGTATATAAAATGCCAGCAGTGTTATTTACTGGCCCCATTAAGAGGTTTGACACTGAACACCACCTCTGGGATGATGCTTCACTGTAATCGTGCTGTCTTTGTTCCAATGGATTTGGATCAAAGTCCACCAATTCTACCTGGCCCATTTCATCAGTCTCTTCTGTTTCCTTCCTTTCAGTAGAAGTTTTTCCAGCAAAGAGAGTTTATCAGGAGACAGAAAGCCATTCTCAGGAAGTTTACCTTAAACTCAATGATTAGGTGACACTTTTCATATGAACTACAATAAATTGGCATGCCTTCATTTAACACACACTTGATATCTCCATGCTTGACAATCTGATCTGTTTGAGATGATGACAGTGGTTTGGTTGTCAAGAGTAGAAATTGGCTTCTGGAAGCCACACAATGCTTCAACCAGCTGTATGTCCATACACATGAAAAGGTCTTCTCCTCGCTGAGTAAAAACAGCATGATCTTTCTGATCTAGTACAATGATTATTTCTCCTGGCTCCAGTCCTGGTTCTTGGTCTCCTTCACCATGGAATGTTATCTTCTGGCCATCTTCCATGCCTTTGTCAACATGCACTTCTAGAATCATTTTCTCTCCAACTATCTTCCTTCCATTGCAACTTTTACATCCATCTTTAGGACTGATCCCCTCTCCATGGCCTTGGCACTCCATGCATACAGACTGAATTTGCTGAACTATTCCAGGTCCTATCTGATGAATTCTTATTTGCATTCCACTACCTCAGCAATTGGGACGGCCTTCACATTTTTCACAAATCACGTTTTTTTGCAGGGCCAGTTTTCTTGTTGCACCATTATGTAAATCTTCTAAGATTACCGACAGCTGATGTACAACATTTTTACCTCTTCTCTCTCTGCATCCTTCCTCCTCCTCCAAAAAACATATCAAAGATGTCTATAGGGGAGCCAAAGCCACCACCTGCTCCACCCTCTTTAATTGCCTGCTCTCCTTCTGTGTCACATAATTCCCTTTTTTTCACATCAGAGAGAACTTCATAAGTTTGAGAAATCTGTTCATACTTCTCGCCTTCATTTGGATTCTTATCAGGGTGGTACTTCAAAGCCAGTTTCCTGTAAGCCTTCTTCAATCTTTCCTGGGTAGCATTGGGTGTGACCCCCAAAACATCACAGTAGTCATTTCTTTCACTATTTTATACAGCCGTTGAGCGGGCTGAGGCTAGCGTGGGGGAGCAGGAAGGTACACAGAGCTGTGTGCGGCTCGGGCAGCAGCCACTCCTCTGCTTCTGACCGAGTGTTCTGGAAAGTTCCACTGATCCCATGTTATTTAAAAAAATATATTATTTTCAAACTAAAGTATGAAAAAGCATGGCTTTGTGGTTAAGAACACGGACTTGCGCTAGCCTGTACCTCTGCCATCAAAGAGCAGCCTGGCCTTGGGCAGTTTATAACTTCTCTGTGCCTTAGCTTTCTCATCTGTGAAATCGGGTGATGGCTGTATCTGCCTCAAAGCGTTGTTGAGGATTAAGTGCATTTAAAGTGCTTACAACAGTGCCTGATACATAGACTGTTTGCTTTTATCCTCATGTGGGATTACAAGTATGTTGACTTTTATGATTGAGATTATGAAAGATACAGCTATCATACTCTCCCTTTCAGAGCCAGGCACAGACAGTAATGAGCTGGGTGGATTCCTGGTGAGAACAGGAATATACAGTGTTAACAGCTTGTTCATTTGGTTGGCACTAAGCTTTTGGTTTCTTAAGGTGTGTGATATGTAGTGAGAGCTTTTAAAGGTGTTGACATAGCTATTTTACAAAGCACAACAGGATTCTTTTCTTTGTAAAATGACTTTAACATGATGTAGCAAAAAGAGCTTAGACACTGGAATTAAGATTACCTGAGTCTACATGCTCTCTGCTTAGTTTCTCTACTTGCAAAATAAAATGACGTAAAATAAAAACTCAGTGGTTCTTTCCAGCTCTTAATACTGTTTATTTTTTAGCTTGTACTTTGTAATAATCATTAGCAACCCTCCCCTAAAACAATGCTGCTGTTTCGTAAAATAGAGAACATTCATAGACTAAAGGTAATTTGCATGAGTTTCCTAAAATAAAACACAGATGAGATAGTGGTAGGATTTCTTGACTTGGGGCTAGCAGACAGTGTAGTGGTTAAGGTGCTGGACTCCCATTTGGCCAACTGTGGTTTGGGTGCCAGACCCAGTAGCTTGAAACTCATGCTGGCTGTGTACGTGCATGCCCAGAATCCCAGGAGAGTAGAGAAGGGATTGTGGTGTGGCCATCCCCCCTGGGGAGTGATTTTTGTCTCTGTCTTTCTGGCGTTTGTATGCACCCTATCACAAAAATATCTCGGAAAAAAAAAGTTCTCGGCTTTGTAGTTTTCTTGCAAACAAAGCTTGACTTGGCTCTTAAGGTAGTTCTAGACTCATAAACACAGAACTGGAAACTACTCCCTTTACTTCGTGATCTCAGTGGACTCCCCGACTGTGGCATCCTGTCTTCCCAAGTCAAACGTACCTGCACATCCCTGTTCTGATACACATCTCACTTCGAATTTGCTCATCTTTTGCTGAACCTCTAACCCACATATACCCATGTCTGAATCTCCCATTTCATATTACTCCAATGACGACTTGCATGTGAGGTATGAATGTTCTTGCTGAGTTCATATAACAACCAACTTTGATTTCCATTTTAAAATTAAGGTAAACTATGTATGATTTAAATACCACCTAATGTGTGTGCGCATGGGCAGCTGAAAGCCTGATGAATTTATTACTGGATTCTGCTGAAAAACACCACTGACAAACTTTTATTTTTTTTTTTAGAATTACGGCGAGCAGTAAGAAGCAGTGTGTGGAGAAGGGAAATGATTACTCATCAACATGAATATGGACCAGAAGAAAACATAGAAGATGACATGTACCGGAAAACTTGTACGGAGTGTGGCCATGAACTGACATACGAAAAAATGTGATTTTTAGATCTGTGTCCTGGTTTACTCAGTTTTATACTTAAATAAAGGAAATTTAGATAAAATCTGGTTGAAACTTTACTCAAAATGTTAATGCCTTCATGGATGAATGAAATTCTTATATAATGCTTCAGTAATAATTATGTTATGACTTAGCAAGTTTCAGTTAAGGTTTAGCTGGTCTGGTTGTGGGCAGAACATCGGGACTGTGATTTATTTTATTTTTTAACAACAAAGATGGGGAGCTGAGTGGTAGAATAAGTTCAAAAGTTGTAGCTCAGAGATTATAAATTGAGGAACGAGAAACTAAAGCAAACCTTTGATTGGGATAGGAGCAGCTCTCAGGCCAAAGCTGACTGAACTGGATTCTTAACACAAAAAACAAACATAGATGGTAACATGTACCAGTGAACCCCAGATTCTGGGTCAGGAGTTTAAGGACTATTTCTGTCTCCGGGACAGCAAAGCTACTGCTGGGAAAGCCTGACAAATAGCAGGAATAAACAGTAAGTTGCTTGATAATGTTTTCTGTATTCTCACGGACTACCACTGTAGGCTTTAGTACTCTTGGCTAGATAGTTCAAACTGCTGGATTGAGATGGAAAACAGCTGTTTTCAAGGCTGAATATCTGCTGATCAAAGGTACTGATAAAGGTAAGTTTGTAAGCCCTGCTAATAACATTTACCGGGCATTTACCATGTACCAACACTGTGCAAGGTGCCTTACAAGTATTCTCCGTTATAAACTTCAAAGACGACTACTATGCTTATTTATGCCTTTAGAGAGGACGTAATAACCTATAGTCTCATGGCATGCTAGGCATTTGGATCAAGTTTAGCTAAATTTTCCCATATGCTGTCAAAGGAATTACAGAGTAGCTTGAACACAGGGCTTATGCATTATTTTTTTGACCAAACAAATCCAAGTTAAGATAAATTGGGTATTTTCAAACTTCTAAAAAAGTTTGTTTAAAAAAAATTTTTTAAGAATTATTTATTATTTTTCAGTTTGACCAGAAAGAGATGAGAAAGCCAGCCACCAGGTTCGGGGCTCAAACTGTCTCACCATGTGAGAGTCCAGTGCCATAACCACCATGCCACCTGCCAGCCCCTTTGTTTAGGAATTTTTTAAAAAGTTTATTTCTTCTATGGGGCAGACAGACAGGAGAGACAGAGCTGGAGACAGGGATGCAGCCCCAAAAGCGTCCTTACAAGTCAGTCCCCCCAGTCTCAGCCAGCCAAGATGATGGGCAGTGATGCATCAGCACTCTGCATGCCCAGGACATAAACCCAAGAAGGTCCTATATGGCCTTCCCCTATGGCTTCAGCATTGCTGAGTGCTGCATTACCTTCCCACCACATGGCTGGCCATTTGAACTATTGTTTGACCTGATTTTATCCTGCTACAAATAGGACATTTTTAGCAGTGTGCTTTAAGAAGTTCATGGTAAAAAGTGGAATTACAGCATGAGTTTATTTTGGTGCAAAACAACTGAAACCATGCATAGCTTTTTCATAATAGCATTTTCCATGAACTTTTTCAAGAACACCCCCCACAACCACCGCCCATTGCCATTATCCTCGAGATCAGCTGTTGCAGATTCTGTTCGGAGCAGGGCAAACTCAAACAAGTCAAATCCAAATAACGACTGGAGGCTACAATCACTAGTTGTTCTTTATATAAATGTTCAGAACAAGTGTGTAATGCATTTTCCAGGTGCCGATTTTTTTCGTATGTGCTGGGCGATTACAGCTCAGTAAGCACTGACTCTGAATGGGCAGCAAGATTTCCCTGGGGAGAAAAGCTGCCAGCTTGATGACAGTAAAACAACCAGGGCTCCCTCTGCCGAAGGGAACATCACTGCATTGTGGGGTAAAGAACTCTCAGGCCAGGTGGATGTAGGCTCATTCTTCTTACTAGTGGTAGATCTTGGATAAATTATTTCACAGGCTTTTTATCTGCAAAGTGGACCTAGTCATCTCTCATAGGACTGTGGTAAGCATTACTTGTGGTGAGTCCCTAGCACCTCACACCTAATGGCCAAATGGCTGATAAGGTGGTATTTGTCTCATTAAGATATGCTTCTATTCCCTCTGTACCTTCATCAGTGGGTAGTCCTGGTATCCAGACATCAGTGGCAGCCCAATCTGCTCTACCAGGTTAACAAGGTCTTTCCATAGCTTTCATTTTCAGGTATAATTATTGATATAAGAAAACTATAACCATCCACTTGGACAAAAGCATTTTAAGTAACACCAATACCATTTAACATTGCTAATTTACTAAGTGCCATGCTATCCTTTTGTCTGTGTGGGCTTCACTAGTGGGGAAACCAACTGTTGAAAGTTTGCTCTTGCACCTTTATTTCTTCAAAATTCAATCCCTAGAGTTAAGTTTTTCCATCTATATGGCTGCCAGACTGGGGCAGGGAAGACTCACATCAGTAGTAGTAGTTAAAGGCAACTGTTATGAATAAAGAGAAGATCGAGAGACAGGAAAATGAAAATCTACACATTTCTCTATAATGTGGGTCAAGTATAACTCACCAAATTTTGCAATACATTGTGAAAGCCTTTAGGGTCAAATAAAGTTACCGACACCTTAAGTGGTTATCTTTTGGCTTCTTGAGCACAGGAAAGATTCAAACTTACAGTTGTGTTATGCTCAAGCAGTGGGAAGGAGGAACAGTATAAAAAAAGATTTAGACAAAAAACGGTTTTCATCGTTCTGCTTACCATGCAACCTTGGCCTTTTGAATAATTATTTTAAGTGGCATGACATTGAAAACTCCTGGACTCTCTTGTAGCTACTAAAATGTATGGTAAACAAGAGACCCTATATCCAAATATAGAAAGTGCTAAACCGTACATTTATCCTGTAGTAAGTAAAAGATACCTATGATGTGTTAATGCACAGAAATGCTACCAGTATCTGTAGGATTATTGGTAAATTTCCTAAGGCTAATGAAAAACTTCTTAGATATCTCAGAAATGTGGAATGCTGGGTAATTTCTTACATTTGTATTATCTTATAAAAACATGCTCATTCTCGTAAGCCTCAACACCATATAGGAAACAGGCTCTGGAATTAGTGGTAATTTGGCCCAGGGTGCATAGAAACAAAACCCAGACCCACATCTGACTCCAAGTGTAGTTTAGCCATTGCAGCTATTCTGCTTTTGGTGCCGCTTCTGTAAGTAACGCACTGTGACATCACAGATCCCTCTCAAAGGCTACGGGAAATGACCAGATGTTCTAAGAAAACAGTTCCCAAACGCGGGATCACCCGGGAGTTCTGAGTACTCATGTCTGTGTTCTATGCCCAGAAATTATGGTTTAATCACTTTAGATTCCCAAGTGATTGATGTTCAGACAAATTTGGGAACTGTTGCTCTAAATAGCAACCCTTATATAAACTAACAAGTAGCATCTTAAAATACTACTTAAAAATTATTTTGAAGAGAGAATTTCAAATGGAGGTTAGTACAACTTTAGTAAGAAACCACCGATCTTCAAGTAGACTGAGATGATAAATCATGGAATACCAAACTTTAAAAAACATAGTTTTAGTTTTATTTCAGCCATGTTAGGTTACCCATGAGCTGTGAAAAGCTATGCTACTTGATAATAAACCCATCAGCGGTTCTACATACTACTCTGAAAGCTTGACATTCTAGTGTTTCACATACCTCAAATCAGTTATTTTGTGCCTTGAGGAAAAAAAAATATCAAATCGATTACAGAAAAGTTGGATCTGTCACATATAATACATTATGGACATCATCACATTCTTGTCATTAGGAAGTATTTGCTTTTTAGGGGCTATTAAAGGTAATGTCATATTTTGCACTGTCTACCTCCCCCTTTGTTTTAGGAAGTGAAAAGATACTACAAGAAAGCAAGCATTCAAACCATCAAAAATAAGACAAATTATTTTAAGATAGTTTTTAAAAAATCTTGACATGAGGGGAAGTGACCTAGGCCTGTAGGGCACAGAACTGCTGGAACACAGCCAGGATGTGAGGGTCTAACTCAGCAGTGAAGAGGAGGTTCTCCAGGGTCACCATGTACTGCTGGATTATCTGGTGGTGCTGTGGACAGAAAGGGCGTCAGGTCAGGAGAACGCATATGCGAGCAGTCCTGTTGGACGTCCCTCAACAGCCCACCCACCCACACTGTGGAATGATGGCAGGCAGAAAAACAGTTTGTGGGAACCAGCAGTTAGCATAATGGCTATGTCGCTGGACTCCCACGTAGTCAACCGCCGTTCACGTCCCGGACCCAGTGGCTTAAAACTCACGCCGGGCGTGTGTGTGTACGTGTCCAAGATCCCGAGAGGAGAACGGAGGAGAAGGAACTGCAGCGTGGCCATCCCCCCGGGGGGTGATTTCTCACTTTCTGTCTCTCTGTCTGTATCTGTCTGTCTAGCAAGTGCACATGCCCTATAGCAAAACTCTGTCTGTCTAGCAAGTGCACATGCCCTATAGCAAAAACCTCTCAAAAAAAAAAAGAAACAGTTCGTGCCAGTACAAGTACCACCCTGAACAGCCCCAACATTAAGAAAATTGAGAGGGAAATGAGAAAAGTGGACATTCAATAACTTTAAAATTTCTAGTTCTTCCCTACTTCTATGCAAAAACAACTCATGATTTAAGGCACTGGCAGCCACTTGCTGCCACTACCATTACAGACTACTATGCTCAGCTGGGACCTGAGGAGAACATAATATACGTCATGAGTTTTAAAAAACTTATCAGAAAATTTGTCAAAGGACATGTGCTCGCCAGAGAGAGGGAAAGTGAGAAAGCAAGCCACCAGGTCCAGGACTCCTAACTGTCGGCCATGTGGGAGTCAGCACCTGAACTACCACACCACCTGCTGCTCCACATCATGACTTTTCAAAGAGCAGTGCAGACAGGGACTGACCTCAGAAGATAAAAGGTGCCAGAAAATGAAATAATCTCTTCTGTGTGCTCCTATGTAGACTTGAATGTACCCCCACAGGACTAGGAGCTGTTAAAAGTCTTTAACTGGTTTAACAATTAAAAAAAAACAGGAATTCCTATTTGGAGGCTTAAACA